TTCTAATTACGTTTTTTTCCTGCTTGGTTGCACTGGTATTAGCTACTGTTATGAACACTTAATTTTCTAGAACAAAGGGACACACTGCAGAATTTTTACCAGCTGAAAAAAACATTCCATTTCCAAAAGGCTTTATTAGTATGGGTATAACTAGTTTTAGAAAGCAATGATAGATCTTCTAAGTAAGATTTCCAGTTAGTAGGTATCCGTAGAAGGAATGGAAAACATGATTTTTGTGGGGTTTTTTTTTTTTTTTTTTTTTTTTTTTACCTCCTGTAATCTTTATGCTTTTGTGTTGTAGAGTGCTTGTTCTGGATGCAGGAAGGATTCTAGAGTATGATACACCACATAATTTGTTACAACGAAAAGGTGCCTTCTCTAAAATGGTTGCAGAGGCGGGTATAAAAAGATAAAGAAAACTAATGAATAAATTCTTATGAAGATGAGAATTCCTTGAACCGATACACTCTCCGAAGATATGCAGCATTCCTGATGTTACGAACTTCCTTGAAAGTTCCTGACAACACTGCTGTTTACTATGGCTACAGTCCATACATAATGATCAGGTTTCTTAAATCAACTTCCTGTTTTTATACAAATCACTGATTTTTATTATATTGGTACTGGACCAACACAATGAAGGAATGATTTTCATGATATATTTTAAATTTTTAAATATTGCACTAGTGAAGATGAATGCCCAGGGCCCCATTCAGCCTGGACTTGAACACCTCCAGGAACGAGGCATCCACAGCCTGTGGATCCACTTCCCCCTGATATCCAACCTAAATCTTCCCTCCCTCAACTTGAAATCATTTCCCCTTGTTCTGCAGTTATCTACCCTTTCGAAGAGTTGACTCCCTGTTCTATAGTCTCCCTATAGGCACTAAAAGGCTGCAATGAGGTCACTCTGTAGTTCTTTTCTCCAGGCTGATCAAGCCCAGCTTCCTCAGCCTGTCTTTGTAGGGGAGATGCTCCCAGTCCCTGATCACCTTTGTGGCCCTTCTCTGGACCCTCTCCAACAGTTCTTTTCTTGTATTGTTTTTACAAAATCACATTGTGAAAGAATACTACAAAATAGGTACAGCTATTTGCTAGCAGATTTTAATGCAAAACTCTACTATTTAGAGCTACTCAAAAGAATATGTGTATTATTGAAAGTTTCAGTTAAACATTCCTGTGCTGCTTAAGCCATCTAAATATTGCCATTTTTACTACACATCCTTAAACTCTTCAAGACTAGCTGTGGTTGGAATGAGTTATATGGGTTATATGAGGATAAGAACTGAAGACTAGTGAGAAGCACTGTAAACATGCTCAAGTGACCTTGCAGCATGGAGGGAAAAATATATTGTACCTGTTGTTTATTCTGTGTATTTGACAAGTAGAACATCTGTATATAGACTGGGAAGCACCTGTTGAATAACTTGAGCCCCCTGCCTTCACAGAGAAGATCAGACCACAATGAAGGTCATGGCATAGTGGTAAACAACATCTGCAGAAACCCTTGATCAGCAGGGGAAAACAACAGGTTCCAATGGCATGGACTGAGGTTTGCAATGCCTGCAGCTGCACTTGCGAGCCTCTACCCAGGTGCTGCTTTGTGAATCCCTTGCTTGGTGAAGTAACAAAAATATTTTTTCTTTGTATTTCAGCAGTGAGTCTGTGGTTGTTTCTGCTGCCTGTGTGGACTTGACATATTGGGTGTAGTTGATAGGATCACGGAACTGCCAGAGATGACTTTCCACATTTTGGAATGGCCCAGCACTGAGCACTGGTGCTGTGTGGCTACTTTCCTGGCTACCACAACTCTGATGGAACCATGGCCTGAAACAGATGTCAAGGTAGTGGATACCCCAGATGATTGAGACAGCTGTGTATGGATTACCATGAAGATTAGGATGGCTGTTTGTTGCCAGTCTTAGAGCTCATTGACTGTGAAGTTGTTGCATTATGGAGTAAAATGAGAGAGTGGGAAAGGGTAGTCAAGACGTTATAAGATGTGATGGCCATCATACAAGAACTAATTACTACTGAAGCAGAGCACTGCTGTGGGCTGCAAGGCATTGCAGAAGGTACAGGTATAGAAAATGGTTTTGAGTTCCATGGAACCTTCATGGGATCCCAAAGAACAGTATAGAAGTTTCTGAGTGAGTCCTTGGATTCTGAGATTGAGTCTGAGTCAGAATTAAATCAGGGTGTGGTAGTAGCACAGCAGATGCTTTGGCAGCAAATGTCAAAACAGCAGAAATTAAAGTTTGGCAGGTCCCCTACACTACTGTTACTGTAGCCTCTTACCATGAGGGAGAGCAATGATCCCATGTTCTTTTAGCTATCAGGTGGTGATCTGGAGGAATTTTAAAAGCGTTAGCTCTAGTAGGCACTGGAGACGAAAATTCTGTATCATGTAGCAGTGTTAATGATAAAGAAACCACACAGATCCATGATCTAGAAGCAAATCCAATCCCTGCCCTACAAAATGAGATTGCCTTAACAATAGTAAATACTATACTATTTACCACAACAGTGTTAATTGCCCCAATTATCTTTGGGGTATCAGTGCATTGGCAGGATGGACAGTTGAAACATTAAACAATTACTTCTGCTTTGGGTCTTTGCAAGTGGGATATATTATGTATCATTTGATCTGTATATATTTTGCATGGGTTCCCAAAGGATCCTACTGTGCTGCCCATGACTGCCAAGGTGGTGACCGTAAAACAATATTACATCTTGGGGAGAAGAGGAAGTTACTCAAACCATCCAGACACTTCAAGTGGGAATAGTTAAAGAAGCCACAACTTCTTGTAATAATCCTCTTTGACTTGTTCAGAAGTCGGACAGTACTTAGGGAATGGCTGTAGATCATAGAGAATCAAATAGTCACCCAACACTTGCAGTTATGGTATTAGACGTAGTTACTCTCGTAGAAAAAATTAACAAAAATGTACAATGCTGAAAGGTGATAACAGATCTTGCTAATGCTTTCTTTTGAACAGTGATTGGTTCATAAAGCTAAGGCCGGTTTGCCTTTATCAGGCAAGAAAAGCAATATACTTTTCAAGAACTATCTCAGGGACATAAAAAGTTTCTCCATTTGCCACCAATGATAGTGGCTAATGTTCGGTTGTTTATCTTTCTATTGATTATCTGTTATTACAGAAATTTAAGTAGCTGCTGAAAGGCTGAAACTGCATTTGCAGGACTAAGGCTGGGCAATTAATCCAACCAAAATACAGGAAGCTACTCTTTATTTTATTTCAGGTATCTATCTTTGATGAATACATGTCTTACCTAGGAGCCGTAGTATTGGAATAATAGTATTGGTGTCATGAACCAACGTCAAATTGAAGTTCATTCTGAAAAAGCACAGGCTGTAGCACTTCAGTTTGTGTGAATCTCAAAGTTACCGAACCCAGAATAATATCTCCTTCAATAATACATATTCTGTTATACCAACTCCTTCCGCTGATGACATTTCCTATTTTCCTCCCGTATTACAGGCTGGCTCATTATGCTTCATAATCTTGTACTACAAGCATATACCCTAGATATATTTCTGCAAGATCAATATGTAAATACTCAAGTTTGGTTAGCCTCTATTCTTATTCTTTCAGGTAGCAAATACAGAACACCTGACACAGGCTCCCATGAAATATTTACACTGGGCATTGAAAGTAATTGCTGGAATTATTTTTTTAATAATAATTGGAAATAATGGCTGTATGCCAAAGAACCTTACAACATCAATTTGCAGTGGTCTGCCACCCACTTCAACAACATAAAATGCTGTTCTGAGTTTGGAGGCATGCATGGGTCCAACATTACTGATGGAGTAGCTAGCACAGAGGGTGACAGCATCTCTAGGACTTAATACATCAAGTGAAACAATCTACCAGTGGTGCCTGGTGAGCTGAGCAGTTCAATGCCTTCAATGAGACATTTAATTCAAAACAGTATTGTAGGGATATATTTATTCCTTTCCCTATATGTTACACACCTCTGTAAATTACTCTCTCCCCTAGTGCCACCCCTAGCAGTAGTGGTCTCTCAAACAAAAGGGGTCAAATGGAGGAAGAAATGGATTAAAAGCAGAAGAGTGACCAGGAGGATTGTAAACATGCTCCAGCTGGCAATACACAGTTTGGATAGTAGTCATAAAGAAAAATACATAAATGATATTTATTGTTTTGAGTGTTTGACAAGTAGAACATCTATGTATAGGTAACAGAGGTAGGGGAGCTCTATTAAACATGGTTCACATCCCTGCTTTACTAAGGAGAAGATCAAAACACAGAACTAAACTACACCTCAACAAGCATAAATAGTAGGCTTGTAATTCTTCAGCACGGGCCAAGCATGGACACGGTGCCTGCGTCTCTACCTATGTACTTTGGTCTGAGTGCCTGCTGTAGGGAGCACCAGGCTGGCAATGAAAATACACATACTCTACCTTTTAGCTGTGGGGCTGTGGTGGTTCCTGCTGCCTGCACTGCTAGCTCACACATCAATGCAAGCAAAGTTTGCAGTTTTAGGAAGAGGGTGAGAAACAACATCTCTTCCCCTCTTCTTGTCCCCCACCTGAGGGCAGCAGTGGCTTCCCTGTAGAGCAGAAACTACCATACTAACATTTCAAATGGGGAAAGAAGTCAGGTGCCCAGGAAAGGCTCTTCTTGGGTCCCATCTCTTACTTACCTTCACACTACCCCCAAAACCCACCCTTTCCTAGAAGTAGCGCAGAAGAAACTGGAAAAACACAAATTGGGTTCTATTTCCTAAACGAATGTTTTAGGATTAATACGAGGATAGGTAATGACTTCAGTACCAACAGCGACCAACATCTCTTGCAAGGTACAGAGAAAGTCATGTATGGTAACTTTATTTATTTAGGGGGAGAAAAAGGTTTTTTGTACTTACTACTGGACTGACACAATTCAAAGAATAAACAGGGAAACAGTGCTGTTAAAATAGTTCCCTGGGAAACTGAAACAAGACAGGGCTGAAGGACAGAAATTCTTTTTATTAAAAACATTCTAAAAGGTTATTTATAAAATGCATTTCATCATCTGCATTTGGAAACAATTCAGGAACATACTGCTGGTGAGGCAGCTTAGGCATTTCGAATTTCAACTTGCAACACAAGTTTTAACTGTATAAACTTCTCATACACTTAACACCACAGGTAACCGTACTCAAGATTTCCAGGAGAGCTTGTAGAAAGAGTTCAGCCTTTGAATACCAATTTATTTAAACAAAGGCTTCTGCTAAGCAGTACATCTGCATATCTAGAAACATCCAGTTAGTGCAGTGTCCTACTCATCTTTCAAATATGAAATATATTTTAATATATGACACAGTAGTAAGATCAAAGACAACATAATTTGCAGAATTCAGAAAATAAATAAGGATGCATTGGGAGATATCTGATGTACAGTAGCTTTTTTACTTCAAGCTGCATAGAAAACTGAAAGAATAAATACCCTTTTGTGATTTTTTAAATTATTTTTCTTAATAAACAACTCACCCTCCCCTTACCCAGATTAAAACTAGAGATTTTGTTTTTAATCTCCTCTAGACTGAAGGAATATGCTAAAGTACTTCCTTTATTTGCATTGTTTAAACAGTTTAAAGTTACACCCTCACTTCTGCCTAACTTGTCCTAAAACTGCAAAAAGCTTTTAATAGTTTAGCCCAACTGCAATGTGGTTTTATTTTAATCTATTTTATTACACTGTGTAAAATAAGCAGACCTGCATTAAACAAATAAAAAACCTGAAGTCCTACAAAAATTCCACAGTATTTTGAGATGAATTTACAGCAGGGCAGCAGAAAGGCCACAATGACTCCAAATACTCTGGAAAAAAATATAGTGAATGTACACAAATATATCTGCAAGGCAACTGCATATGAGAACTGTACTGCATACTGGCATCGACTTCACTAAAAGACTTCTTTCAACTCGGGAGTTTTAGTTCTATTCACCTTGGTCCCTTACCTCACTCCCTTTTATTTTATAAACATGCAGTATTTTATTTTAATACATTATCAGATTTTACTAGAATTCCCATATATATGTAAAGACAGGTGATTTCCGAAGGTATAAAGGCAGGGAAAAAAGCATCCAAAAAGTTCCTTTAGTTTTCAACTCAGTGAAATTAAATGTTATCGGTATTTTGGGAATCTTTGTGAAGTTAAACACCACCCATGGAATGGCTAAACAAAACTAAAACTCAAGAGGTTTTTAATAGGATTACTTCAAAGGTATGTTTAGACCACAGCTATGCAAACAGCTGCATCAGCAGAATTGGGAAGGCAGTGCCATAGATCTGGTCTATGCCAGGAGAATAATAGGCCTATTTTAACGTGGTCAGGGGTTAAACCATAGCTCTAAGCCCACACTTGATGCCTTGGCATGCTTATCAAAGTTATTTTTTGGAGCATACAAGAAAATGCTTAAAATCACCTATTACTAAAGCTTACCTGATACTGCAATGATGGATAAAGACAATCCTGAGTTGAATGCCTTCACTTGAGAGTTCTAAACAGATAGAAAATCCCTTGGCCCATTAAGTAACGTTTTAACTTTCCAAAAAAAAAAAAAAAAAAAAGCTTCACAATTTTTCTTTTTAATTTTATCATCCTTTTCTCCTCTTTCATTTGCTACATAGGTGAATGGCAAAGTATTTGCTTAAAATATAGGCTGAAGAATCTTTACCTCTAATCCTTAGTTACAGGCACTGCTTCTTTCTCAGATAAACAGCTACCAGCTGTTATCTACGCTGAGTTTAGAGTAGGAATATCACACAACTTAAAGATACTAGATACTAACAGAGATACTAGCTAAAATGTATAAACAAAGCTGGATGAGTTTTCATCAATGAGAGGAACTAGATTTCATCTAAGCAGTTCATTTGGTCCCACACTTCTTCCCCTGAAAACAGTAGAGCTGGGGGGGCGGGGGGGCAGTGGGAAGATGTCATACACTTGCAATTGTGCGACAATTTAATTCATGTTGGTAAAATTCAAAGGAAAATATACACATGTAGCTTCAAGATACATAAATTAATATGGTTTTCAAATAATGTGGAGAGAGGTATAAACAGTTGGTGATACGCACTTGTTCTTAAGTGTAAGACAGCAGCACCTCTATGTTAACCATCCAGAATGTTTCAGGAATTTAGCCATTGTAGACACACTAAGCAACTCCACATTACCAAGAGCTAAATTTCTTAATATGTTTTGACTCAAACATGAGACAGTAATTTGCCACGTGGTCTTCATAAAACTAGTATGCTGTTATGAACAGCAGAAGATTCAAGTGAATGTATAAATCTCATTCAAGCTGCAGTATGCCTTTTAGAAAGGTTTTTAAATGCTCAAATGACTCATTTTAATAAATAAATTTTAGCTCAACACTGCTAGTGCTATGTGCGTTAACACTGCTTCACATTCTTCTAAATAAAATATACTTGACACAGGAACATCCATACTACAATGCTGCATTATTTCTAAACTTTGGTCACACTCTCTTTAACTTTTAAACAAACACCTCTTCCAGATTTGCTAATAAAATTTAGCAAAAGAATATGAGTGTGTCATCTTTAGGATTTTCACTCTGTATCCAATCTAGAGGCAAATACGACTTCAAAGACTTCAGAGCTTTAAAAATCACTTGTACCTTTAAGATAACATTTAGCTCAAACAGATTACAAAAAAAAAATAATAGAATATTATATGGCTAAGGTTAGGCTCCACTGACAGTCAGATAAATATGCACCATCCAAGTATGCTTTCGGAGAAATGGGATGCAATGGGAAAGAGTTTATCTTTAATTAAAATTAGTCTTTCGTAAATGCTTATTGGGAATTTCTATTGCGCTTACTTGGAGAGGCCAGGACCCACCAACAATTCCTGCTTGGATTGCTACACCCATTACAACTGCTAGATCAGGGTCTACGGAGGTGTTGGGTTCCTTTCCAAAGAAATCCCGAATAACTTCACGTATTTTAGGAATCCGGGTGGAGCCCCCAACTAACACAATTTCATCCACTTCCTCTTCGTGTAGGTGGCCTTCCTTCAACACCTGTTCAATGGGAACAAGAATTTTCTTAAAAAGGTCCTCGTTCAACATCTCAAATAGTTTCCTAGAAATTTCTCTTTCAAACACAACTTTGACAAAGTTGTTTTCTCCATCTGAAGCATCTCCAAGATTTTGCAAGTCTTTCGTTTTCTGTGAAGGCTTGCTGTTAGGAACAGTATTTGGCTTTACATCACTTTCAGGCAGTTCTTTTGTAAGCTTCCTTTCTGGCACAGTCAATGACACCCTTAATGTAGATGCCTCATGAATAGTCAAATTTAGCTTAACTGCTTCCACAGCCTGTCTGAGGCGATGTATTTCTTCTTTTCTTGATGGCAGAGAACCATATACTTGATTGAGTTGATCGTATAAATGCTGCATCAACCTCTGATTAAAATCTTGTCCTCCAAGTTTGTTGTTACCTAAAACATCAGAATACAGTGCATCAGATATCACCTCCAAAAATTCAGAAAGCAGCTCACATCTCCTCTTTACTGGCAAATATACTCCAATATATATATTTGCCATACTACTGGCAAATAGAACTCCAGGGCCAGAACAACAATACTAGGACCGTAAGCACCGAGCAAGAGCTAACAGAACTAGGAAAACAGATTAACAAATTATCATCCACTGAAGAGTACATGATTGACTGCAACTTCCAGATTTTTTTAATTATTTTTTTTTCCCTACAGACAAAAATAAATTACAAGAAAAATCTGTAGCTGGTAGCATGCCACTGAAGTGCAGTATCTCAGAGCAAATTATTTTCCCAGCTAAGATTCCCAGAAAATTTACATCTCTCTTTCTGCCCAGATGGATTTTTCTGTTAGTACTACCACAGTGCAGCTTTATAGGAGTTACTGTTCTAACATTTTCAAGTTATCCAATGGTTTCATCCATTCACATGAAAAAGCTGCATACCATTGAGGCATATGGAAATATCCTAAAAAAAGCAAAAGAAAGTGAGTAAATGCAAGTAGTGGGGTTCAAGTTCTATTAATAGGTTTGTCTTACATTAGCCTTCAGAGAAGGTATTCTCTATTACTTCTACAAGATTATTCTTGCACCTTATTTCCAAAACCTTTCAAAGAGTTGTTCATGCTTTACATTAAACAGATTTAAAAGTGGCCTGGCAGTTTTCATCTATGTTGAATAGTACTCTCAAAGTTTCTACCTGTCTGCTATGAGTGAAAACGGGAACTCACTTAACGGACATCCATCCAAATAAGTCAGAATGAAGTAATTAAGTATTGTTATTCCACTCTTACTGGACATCAAACATTGTTCATTCAAGGCAATGCTAAGAGCATCTCAGATCTGTCCAAATTTGGGTCATCTGCAAAGCAGTTGTGCATTCATTCCAGTTTTACTAAATGTTGCTGCCAAAACTCTTTCCCAAGTGAAGAATCACTGTGGCATATATGTATTAAAAAAAAAAAAAAAAAAAAAAAAAACTTCTGGGTTAACACAGTGCAGTCATCAAGTCCTACGCAACTGCACTGGAGCCAAATGCAAGGCAATGATGTTGTAAAGCACTCAGCTTTAGTAAAATGACTTGGTAAATACTCAGCTCAAACAAAGGTAATAGAATGCTTTAGAACAAAGTATTTTCCGTAAGCAGCAGCACTTACACCAGTAAATATCAACAGCCTCGGATAAAATTAAACCACAGTTTATAACTTGGAGTCACTTTAAAACTGAATTTCTCTTAACGGGTGAAACCAATTGCAGACCTGGTTGCATATGAAAGGCAATTACGAGCACTTTGTTGTGAGACTGGTATGTTTTAAATAACCTCACCTAAAAGTGATGTGAGGTGTTATCTTTCCTTTCCTACTACTCCTTCAGAAAAGTAAAGCATTTTTCTCACCTGCCATGGCTCGTGTGAGGAACATCCCTCCCTGCTTGTTCAGCAGAGACACATCCAAAGTTCCTCCACCCAAATCTACCACCAGGACATTAAACACATCAGCTTTGTGGAGTCCATAAGCCATAGCCGCAGCTGTGGGTTCATTGATTACTCGCAAGATTTCTAGCCCTAAAAAGAGCAAAGCAATAGTCACATACAATTCCAAAAACTGTATTTCTCACTGTCACAACATTTACTATTAGTCATTTAGAACTAACCTTAAGTGAAATGTCAACTATGTGGAAATAGTTAATCAAGTACTATTGCTTAGAAAATTATTTTCCTTATTTCAGCCAGAAGTAATACTATTTCACTGTCAGGATGAAGGCATCTACACAAATATGTTTCCTTGAGAGACCCTTTGGCTAAGTAGATTCCACATCCTATTTGTATTTTAATTATTGTCCAATAGTGCTCTGTATGTTCTCTCTATTTGGAGATGACCAAAAAAAATAACATCCTTAGATGAAGGGTCAATTCTCCTAGCCACCTATGCTTGCATTAGTCTGTTGCATCTGTTGGCACCCAAGAGTTCTGTCTTGTTCTTCATAATTGTTAGCAGTCTTAAAGAAAAAAAACAAATCCATTCTAAGGCTTTCTATTCTCCCTAGACTTTACCACTAGTGAAATAAACATAATGTAAGGCTCCACAAAACAATTCTGGAATAAAAAGACAATACCTGCAAGGTTAGCAGCCTTAACAGTGGCATTCCGTTGCCTTTCATCAAACTCTGCTGGCACAGAGATGACTGCCTTTGAAATGGGCACACCAAGATGGTCTTCTGCCATTCTCTTCAATTTCAGTAGCAGCTGAGAGCCGATATGCTCCGGAGTGACACGAAAGGTTTCATTAGTTGTCACAGAAAATTCAGCTGATCCACCGTTGTTGAAAATCTATGAGGAAAAGCAACACAACTCATATGTAAGGCATCTTTTTCTTATATTCCCTCCTCTGCTACCACCAAATATTAGGTTCGCATATTGCTTGTTTATTCAGGGAAAGATATGGATGTATCTATCCAGTGAGGCTTTGGACACCCCCTCCCTGGAAGCATTCAAGGCCAGGCTGGATGGGGCTTTGAGCAACATGGATAAATGGGAAGTGTCCCTGCCTGTAGAAGGGAGGTTGGAACTCGATGATCTTAAAGGTCCTTTTCAACCCAGACCATTCTACATCTCTGATTCTATGTACTTTCTTCACTTCATTAATTACTTTTATTCCTTGATTGTAAACAACTGCTTAATCATCTTTAATGCTCCATGATACAACCACACATTTGAAGATGACAGTAATGCTTCTTAATCATTACACCTTTTTTTTTAGTACGTATCTCAAAGTAAAATAAGGTACTATTAAAATTTTGAGTTGGAGCTTATGCTGGAACATAACCTAGAAACACATTTCACAGTGGACGACAGGGTTCCCTAGAAAATCATCAGCTGTCATGCTGAAGTACACCACTTCCACCAGCATTTCCTCCTCTTCTCTCTGGGTTCTCTCTTATGGTTTCCAGGCGTATCAGATTTAGCTGAATGACTCAGAGTCAGAAAAACTGGTTCTGCATTACATATTTCAAGCTTCCTACATATCACTGGCCTGGAGAGAAGCAAAGATGATGCTTGCTCACCTTAAATGGATACCTGCTACTTTCACTCTTCAGTTCTTCTGAAGTGAAGATTTTCCCAATGAATCTTTTTGCATCATATATAGTATTCTGAGGATTTGCATCAGCAAGTTCTAGGCCATCATATCCGACGTATACATCTCTGTCCGTGAAAGACACTATACTTGGAATGCTGTTGTGCCCGTTTTCATCTGCAATAACCTTCACCTGCCCTGTTCCAGGAAGAAAGACACCTACAGAGCAGTAAGTTGTGCCAAGATCAATCCCAATTACTTTTGGTGTGGGCATTGGTAAATACTGTTGAGCTAGATAGCCAGCTAGCAGAAGAGCCAGAATTGCCGAGCCTGAAAGACAAATCAATAGGTCAACTACTATTTTGGGAGAAAATGCTTATGAATAATTCTCATAGGAGACCTAGTTAATGAGGCTGTACAAAAATCACACATGCTCACTGCTGCTTCAGCCCCAGCTCCCTGAGAGCACCCTCCCACAGCCCTCAGTCTTTCCTACGCCTCGAAACAAACAGGTAACCTAGCTTAGGAACACAGAATGATTTCTCCATTTTACACGTAACCGACGTACAATAAATAAATAAATAAATAAATAAAAAGAAAGAAAGAAAAAAGAAATCCAACGTGGCTAGGACGGTCACGGCTGTCTTTCAACAGAGCAGAGAGCGCAGGTTTCTGTCAGCTACTTCCCCGCACAACGCCTATCTCCACAAGAAGCAAAGGAACACCCCGAAACCATAAAGGAGCCATCACGAAAAGCCGCTCCATCCCGGCAACGCCCCCACCAACCCTGCACAGCCCCAGAGACGAGACCCGCCCGGCTCAGGCCAGGCCACTCTTCCGCACCCGCCCGCCTTCCTGCCGACCCCAGCACTGCTCCGGCCCCCAGCCGGCTGCCCGCACGTACCCAGCACCGCCATCTGCCCGGCCATCGCTGCTCGCCGGCTGCCGCAGCACCGGCCAACTCCGATTGCTGACGGGTCCTTCCGGGCCGCGCCGCGCGGAACGCCGGGAATTGTAGTGCACGCTTCCCACCCGCCCCGCCGGTGTTCGCGGGCTGTCTGTAGGGAAAACACTACACCTCCCAGGAAGCACGTGGGGACGTGGCCCTTTCCTGCTGGTGCTGGCCAATGGGCTGAGAGAAGGGGTCACAAACCAAAGGGTCGGTAGGGAGGATGCGTGGTAAATATTTTGCGCATGCGCAGAACGGGTTCTGCCGCCTCGCGGTGCTTACTGGGAGTGGTAGTTCTGTCGGGGCGGCGCTGCGGCCATCGCCGCGGCCTGACGCTTGTGGCGGGGAAGGCGCGCTTTGCGACGCCGCCGTGAGGCGACGGGCTGACAGGCAGCCCTATGGGCCCTGTCTAACTTGTTTTCCCAACACTGGTGTTGAATACTTCCATTGTGTCTCTTTAAATGGCAACATTGTACAAGTGGCTATTCTAAAACTAATTGAGTGGAGGAGAGCTCGTATCATAGAATTACGGAATCATTAAGGCTGGAAAAGACCACTGATGCCATCTGGTCCAACCACCAACCCATCACACCATGCCCACTGCCCATGTCCCTCAGTGCCACATCCGCGTAGCTCTTGGACACCTCCAGGGACAGTGAGCCCACCTCCTCCCTGGGCTGTGTGTGCCAATGGTCATCTTACAGTATTTCTTCACCCATGTAACTCAAGCAGGCACTTTTACATATAGTAAAATAGCAAAAGCAGGAGTTTGCTGAAATTTTTACCTTTGATAAGTCACCACATGCTTTAGTACATATGGACCCCGTTTAAATCTCACACTTCCGAAGACTGACTTGCAGGGATGCTTTAAAAATACTGTGACAGATTTCGTCCTTTCTGAAGCACAGGCCAGGCTCTGTTTTTATACCTGAGGCATTGGGGTCACTCAGTGAGGTGCATACTGAAGGAGATAACTCACATGCCCTCTCCTATACTGCTTCTGTTCCATCTCCTCAAAATAAAGCTGCCTCATAAACACAGCGGATCAGCCAAGGCCTCCCCGCCTGTCTCCCAGGAGGCCTGCCTGTTCCCTACAGAATTACACAGCACAGGACACCTGCCTGGGAGTCAAACCAAGGAGAACATCGCTGCTCACTGCAGCAATTGCACATCACACCAGCCGCTTCCTCAGGAGACACCTGCCTCCTTGTGTCTGTTTTTGACTTTTGTCTCATTGAAGCCTGTATCCACCCATTTTTTTCTATGACACTTTGAAGGCAACTTATATTCTTCAGCACCTGAACTTAAATGAAGTCCAGAAGCGCCTATTTTTAATCCTACATCTCCATGACGTATCAGGGTCTGCGTAGGGCTAATCCATGACCTACAGAAAGATGATTCCTCATGCATTTGCAGAATAGGCAGAAATAATCCTAGTGAGCTTGCATTTTTTTTCCTGGGGAATTATCAGAGCGTCTTCTGGATGGAGTTCTTAGTGGTGTTAAAGCCAGTTCTTTTACTTATCCTCACAGCTCACACAGTTCTCATTTTCTTCCCTTACCTCAGGGAGCAGACACTGGAAGGTAGATCTTTTTTCTCCTGAAACGATGTGTTAGCCACATCCCTGTAATGGCAGGCAATGCCTATATTGCAGTGCTTAGCACTTGCCCAAAGGTAGGCAATGCAAGCTCATCAGACCATACACCTCAACTCCAGTAGATCAGGGCCTCTGGTGATACTTTCTGGTATCTTTGCTGATTTGTCTGTTTGTGCTGGCTGTACAGCGCCGATAAACCCTTGGGGACAGCACACCAGGCTATCAACATTACCTGCCACTTGATGTGAGCCAAAGGTAGACATGTAACCTGTCTCTGGGGGGTCTGGGCCAAGAGCCTAGTTAGGTTTATTAGCGTATCTATTCACTCTGATAGTAAGCTTTTTAAAATATTTCAAAAGCTTTTGGGGGATTAATTTCCTTCAAGGGGATAATGTTTTTTCCTGGTGCTTTAACAGGTGAAGGTAAACACGTTTATGTCTACAAATAGCTCAAGGGGGAGAATTGTTCTTACAGTGTAAGAGCAGAGACTGGTTTTAAAGCAATCTCCCATCAGATGAGAACTAGTACCTGCAGGAAGAAACTATTACACCAGGGAATACCCATGAAAACAGACCTATGATGTGTTAAACACAGTTCAAGCATTTGTTGAATCAAATAAAGCTTGTTTTCATTTCTAGAATGCTTTGCATCAGCCGTATTCCTGCACTTTGAGAAAAGGAAACTGAGTTTGCAAAGCATTCTCTTTCCTGCCATTGCACAGAATGGGGCTTCCTCTTCCTAGGGAAGACTCAGTGAATTCTTTCAGCACCACTGCAGTAATTTCCAAAACATTGTCCAAAAAAATCAAAACACAGAGTACCAGAATTTGCTCCCAGCAGTACTGTTTGATCCAACAGTGATCCTACTGTGCAGGAGCAAGCATGAGAGAGATTGGAAGCCGCTTCCCAGGTGGAGGGGTGTGGTCAATGTCTCCTTGAGAAAAGAGACAATTTACTTAAATGCTATAATATGAAATCTCATGTTTGAATTTTAAATTCGATAAAGGTGGCTTCTTAGCCTTGGTGCAATCATACCAAAATTGCAGAAATGCAGACTACTGTCTCCTCTACATAATTAAAACATTGACCTTCTCTGGCTGTATCTAGTTGGGGAAGGAAAGGATTTCATCAGTGTCCAATCTTCCTCTGTGACAGACAGTTCAATGTCAGGCAGTTGGGAGAAAAGTATAACCTTCAATTGAGATGCAAAAGTTTCCATTTAAATTCCCGAGTATAGCTTAAAGATTTCTTGCTCCCACTGCCTGGATGTTGTGAAGGTGTGCAGGGAATCGTTAATGAGTCAGAAGCTGGCTCTCCGACTGGCGGCACTGTGAGTTGCTGCAGGGCTGCTCGGAGATTCATAGCCAAGAGCAGGGGTGAGACACTGGCGTCAAGCTTCCAGCAGATGTCCCTGCTATGCAGGATTGCTTTTTATATTTAAGGGTAACCTGCAGATTCATATAAAGCATATTAACCTTTTGCAGTCGTTATCCAAATTCTTGTAAAAGCATAAGTCATGAAAATGGTGTCTCATTTTTCAGTGCAGTTTGTTTAATTCTCTTAACATCTCCATTTCACTGAACCCTTGTGAAATCATTTTGAGGTTAACAATGAAAATTTTATTTCCTCTCTCATGAATACATCTGCAGTCATAGAAGCAGTTCAGGAAAAAAAGTCTGCGAGCAGAATGGGATTTTCACTGGTCTCTCTCCTGCCTCAATACTTGAATTTCTGTTGGTCTACACACTGATTACAGCTTGCTGTGATGTAGGGGAAAAAAAAAAAAAAAAACCTAAAAGCAGAGACCCCTTTATTTAAGAGATAAGACAAGTAGACAATTTTGGCATTTACTGGCCTAATAACTGGGAGCTTCTCTCTTGCTTCATTGCAGTGTCACTTATGGGAGATGTTGCAAGGCCAAGAGCTGAGTGCTGCTGTGAGACCAGCTACTTCCTCCCCACCCACCAGCAGCCTGACTTGGTGGGCCTGGATCTTAGATTAAATCTGTCCCTAGGTCTGGAGCACATAATTCAACTTCTGCTCTGCTAAGGTGTCCCATCTAGAAGCAGGAACAGCCATATTGCACTAACTGTGTGACAGGAAAATCAATCGCTTGTATGGTGGTTTGGTGGAAACAATGTGCTGCATATCACAACCCGGAGCATGGGAATGAGAATACAATTGGAAGTCTCATCATCTGCTTGAACCATGAGAGTGATAATGAACAAGAGTCCTAGAGTCTCCCAGGAGACCGTTTTCTCATTTGTGTTGTGATGTGTATGCGAAATCCATACAGATGTCAGTCAGACATATCAATTTTATCTATTGGGTGTGACAACAGAAGAATAAACAGAGGAATGCGCTCAGATATAACTACTTTAACACACAGCTCCCCAGGCCAAGGTTGAAAGGTTTTGCAAAATATTTGGATAGAGAAAAATCCTTCTTTTCTGTTTGTGGGGTACTGATGCTGATGTCTCAGAATATTTATCTTACAGTGATTCTGTTCTTTTCCTGAAAGTACCACCAAGAGGACATCAGAGAGTTTGTACGTGGGTGTATAATCAAAGAATATTAGGATGCTATAACCACAAAATAAACAAGAGAGTTAGGCAAAGCAGACTACGATAACAAAAGAGAAAAAAATAGATGGCTTACCCCTATCCTGGGCTTACCCCCCAAACACCAGCAGATGCAATCCCCAGAAGAGATCCTTCCCTAGTGGTAGCCAGCTCTTAAATAGGTCTAGGAGAGGTGCAGCCAGGCTCCACCCCTTCCAGCAGCACAGGTGAATTGCCTTCACCTGTGCTCCTGTGGCTGACTCATGGCTCACCTCAGGTGATCAATCAGAGGTTCAGGCTGTGATTCAGCAGTTCCCATACAATGGGATAAGAACATTTGGGTCTTTCTGATGGTGCAGACAAATCTATTTCATTTAACACTTAGAAATAGTATTCTGGTACTCTAGGAGCAACTGTGCTATGTCATACCTACTTTCACAGAAGAGTTATTCCACAACCTAAATTATTTCTAATCTAAGTATACAAAAGAAGTAATAAGAAATAGAATAGAATAGGTTGTTCTTTGTACAATGTGCACTGGAGAAACACAGAAATTGACTATACAACTCCAGAACAGACAGTGAGCATGGAGACCAAGTATGGCTTGAAATGAGCCGTATCAAACACCACTCAAGAGAGGTCCTGACAGAATCAACTTTCTTCCATTCCTTTAAGGAAAGGGACTTGTATCAAGGGTAGCCATCAAAGACCTAATGGGTCGGAAGTGTTCGCATTTATACATTGCTCTTTGGGGAAAGTGGTAATGGCATTTCCTAATTGTCTTGAGAGTACAGGAACTAGAGCTGTGTGCAGGAACTGGAGTTGTCATTATTTTCTGAATGTCCAGCATACTTCAGTGTAACCAATACATAGT